AAGCTTGTGGAGGGGCCCCACATGCACGAGGGCCTCCGCTGCGCAGCCCACAGCAGCAGCAGCGAGGGGGCCCCCCCCGCTTGTGGTTGGGGGGCCCCCAGAGGAGGGGGGGCCCCCAGGCCGGGGGGCCCCCTGGTGCCTCCCCGGGAAGAGAGGGGGCATCAGCGAGTGCAGCAGATGAGTGAGGCGGGATGCATGCACGAAGGGGTAGCTAACGTCCTGGGTGTTAGACCTGAAGCAGAAAGACAAACACCTGCTGCTGCTGCTGCTGCTGCTGCTGCTGCTGCTGCTGTTGTCCTTGCTGCTGCTGCAGTGCTCGGCCGTGATTTCCTTCTATGCATTCTTATAACTCTCTAAACGTCAATGGAAGAGGAGACAGACACAGACAGAACTAACCTCTTGCAGCCCAATACCCTCAACAAAAACAACAGCAGCAGCAGCAGCAGCAGCAGCAACAGCAGCAGTACTAACAGCACTGGCAGCAGCAGCAGCAGCAGCAGCAAGAGCAACCCCAAATATACTGGGCCCACACAGGTCCCCAAAGCGCACAGGGGCCCCCCACAGGGGCCCCTTGAGAGGCCCCCCTGGGGGCCCCTGTCGGGGGCCCCTGGCGGGGGCCCCTGTAGGGGGGCCCCCACGGGGGGCCCCCCAGGGAGAAGTGTAAATGATATTTTTTTTTTTTTTTTTTTTTTTNTTTTTTTTTTTTTTTTTTTTTTTTGTGTGTCTGTGGATGGACCTGTTGCAGAAGATGTGTTTTGTATCTGAAGAAGAAAATGCGGCTATCATGGCGGCGTATTCTTTTGTGTTTACTACCTGCGGAGACAAAAAAAGGAGACAAAAAAGAAAATAAAGAGACAAAAAAAGGAGACAAAGGAGAAGATAAGGAGACAATAAAAGGAGACAAAAGAGGAAATGGTAGAGAGACAATAAAGGGAGACAAACAAGAAGATAAAGAGACAATAAAAGGAGACAAAGGACGAAATGGTGGAGAGACAAAAAAGGAAACAAAAAAGAAGAAGATGATAAAGAGGAGGAGACAACAAAAGGAGACAAAGAAAAAGAAAAGAAAGAGGAGACAACAAAAGGAGATAGAGACAAAGATAAGGAGGAGATAGCGAAAGAAAACATATAAACAAAAGAGAGACAAAAGGAGACACACAAACAAAGGAGAGACAAACGGAGACAAATAAACAAAAAAGAGACAAACGTAAACAAACAAAAAGGAGACAAGCAAAAAGAGACAAACAAAAGGAGACAAATAAAAAGGAGACAAACAAATAGGAGACAGAAAAGGAGACAAATAAAACGGAAGCAGAAAAGGAGACAAATAAAAAGGAGACAAATAAAAAGGAGACAAATAAAAAGGAGACAGAAAAAGAGACAAATAGAAGGGAGACACAAAAGGAGACAAATAAAAAGGAGACAGAAAAGGAGACAGAAAAGGAGACAAATAAAAAAGGAGACAGAAAAGGAGACAGTCTCCTTTTCTTACATCGAGAGAAGTGAAGTGAAAGACGGCAGCAAAAGTTTGGGCGGAGGAGGACTTTATACGCTCCATCTGCAGACAGAAGGGGTTTAGGGTTTAGGGTTTAGGGTTTAGGGTTTGGGCTTTAAGGTTTAGGTTTTGGGGTTTAGGGTTTGGGGTCAGAGGGGGAGAGAGACAGGTGAAGAAGCTGTGGCTGTCTCCTTTTCTGTGTCTGTTTTTTCTGTCTCCTTTACATCTATATGTCTCTTTATTTGTCTCCTTTTCTCTGTCTCTATCTCTTCCTCCTTTTTCTTTTTCTTTTTTTTTTTCTCTCTCTTTCTCTGTTTGTCTATCTCTGTCTCTTTTTTTGTCT